AATAAAAACAATTTGCAATAAAAAATTCTTGTTATCTAAATAATTTTGGGATTTATCTATATCAAATTGTTCAAATAAAATTTGAGATAAATTTATTCAGAGTTACTGAAGTGTAACAATATATTGAAAAAGCATTATTACGAGAAAAACTGGAAAATGTATTTATTATTATAAATAAAGTAATTTCTTACTCTTATAATGACATCACAGTACTTTTTCTCTTTTCTGATCGGAATTGAAATTATACCAATTATCATTCTTTCTCTATCACCCTACCAATGAATCGTGCTGAGTTGGACCTTCACAAATCCACTTACATCAACCTTTAAAAGCCAATAATCCTAGACACATGTTCAATATAACAACGACTTCTCAGGATATTCAACAATCACATATGACCATAGGAAATCTAACAATAATGGATCACATCTATTAAGATGATAACCTGCATCAATATCTAGAAATCCAATCTTTGCAACACAATCCTATTTTCAGTTCACATCAAAAAGTACAAGTTCAATTTAAGAGACAATAAAGCAAGAGTCATCATCATGACTATTATTATTATTATGACACTAATAATTCTAGTACTAAACTGGCAATTTATAAAATTATTTTTGTAATATTAATTAGAAATTTACAGTTTACAAGGACTCTCTTGAACATGATGCTAGAGTATATTTTAATTAATTGCCACATTTAGTATAACAACAGTTGTCTAAGTTCATATATAATAATTTCAGCTAGTTGAACATATTATCTCTTAATTAATATTCATTACGAGTGATGAATTTCATTTAAATATAAGTTAATGAATTAGTAAATAATAGATTTATTACCGACTCGATCATTAGTGTTCGATTAAATGTAAATACAACTTGATTTAGACTATTTTTTTTATATAAGAAGTTGAGTGAATATTTATGGAGCTTCAATTGGCTAATTTAAAATCTTTGTAATTCATAAATAAATCTAGCCGACTCGTTAGATTGAGAAAATAAAGTACGAATTTCATTTGCTGTAGATTTCTCTAGACTAACTTCTTAGTTCTTAGGTTACCTCAGTGTCTGACCAGGTATGGGACTTAACTACTTGGAGTAATAGCCATCCACTTATCCTACCTCTCAAGTTTCCGACGAACAATTCGCAGTTTCCTTCTGGTTGCTTTCGTTCCGATAACTTTCTTCTCTTGTTCGGATAAAATTGAGGAGCCCTTAATTTCCTAGACCGAGAGAAAGAACTTTACTTTCTCGTAGTTGTACTACCTTAACTTAGAATTTCGTTAATTTATTTCGCAGCTCCGCAGTTCATCTAACAAATTTACAAATTATTTATGGAGTCAACAGACTTCTTGAAATTACGAAAATTCAATTTATAATTGTTGTAGAATTTTTTTTTCAACATCATTTTTTAAAGAAATTTTTGATTATTTTGAGAAATTATTTTTAAGCAATTGAATTTGGTTATTTTCACAAGTACTGTAATTTTAAAAATATTTATTTTTTTCAAAAATTTAAATGTAGAAAGTTTTCACTTCTATTCTTTTTGCCTAAATTATCCTCTCGAAACTTTAAGTAAAAATTTAACGTCTCATTAATATTCCTCCATGTTAAAAAAGCTTCGAAATAATTCTGAAAGTTTTTTAAACTTTTCAAATAAAAAAAAATTATATCACCTATTAAATTTTTGAAAAAAATAAACAACATTAATCCTTGTTTTTGCCAAAAATATTTTGAACACGATAATTCACATGAATTATCTCTAATTCGTTGATGGATTTAATTTAAAAAAAAGTAATACTTATCTATTCACGCAGCTTGTAATTACATTTACACTAACAAGTTCTGTCTTTAAATACGTAAATTGATAATACAAGTCTGCAAAGATTTTCTCACTAAAAGAATTAAAAGGCATTATTCAATGACTTATTTAATTTTAAAAGAAAAAACAAATTACTCTGAACATTAATAATAAGCTACGATTGGTCCGTAGGAATTAGGGGATAATCTATAAATCGTTATTTCAACACTACTATGTTAATTTAGTGATGTTAATAGATGTATACCGAATGTACACTATCAATGTTCGGAAGCCCTGGAAAGGCAATTCTAGAGCTCGTAGAAGAGATTAGAGTAAGCCGAACTAGTTGATAATGCTCGTTCGAAAGGTTTCGAAAAATTAATTACTTTACTATTTTCATGTGACACTGTATATTTTTGTCTGTCAATATTTTATGCTTATACCCTGCATTAATTACTTCTTTATTCTCTCACACAACATACGAAGTATTTGCCATCAATAATTTTATAGTACAGACAGTTTATGCATTTTAACCATTAATCTAAGCTTTTGTATCAAACTCGAACTTTTAATCATTTTACGAATATTCGTACCAAGAAATATTATATAAATTTAATATTCATAAATTGAATACTTTTTGTTTTAGTAACGAAGAAATATTATACTTACGTTTCAAAATACTACCTTTAGCAATTCTTTAATTCCATACGATCGTTATGTTATAAAACACAAAGCTTTCAATACAATCTGAATTTTTAACATCTCTTCATCAACGTTATTATTATTTTTTGTTTAAAGAAGCTTTTGTGATTCTTCTAATTCAATATTTGACCGAACTTTGATGGTATAATGGCTTAAAAAAAAATTTTTTATTTTATAACTTTTATTAATTCATCAACAATCCTATTTTTCTAATATTCACAGCACCACATTGATCAATAAGATAACGAAGTTTCATAAAATTAATTTTGTTGTTTTAATACAACAGGCGAAAAATTTGTTATATCATGTTATATCATTACATGAAAAGTATAATATATATTTACACTGAGATAACTTTAAAATAAAAATCATCATATGTTTTAGCAATAGTATAAAAAATGAAATTGTTTCCGAAACAAACTTTTGCCCTGTAGAGATAAAAGAATATATTTTATTTTTGTTTAATAAAAAGATTTTTAAAATTTCTCATATAAAAGGTATCAGAGAAATGATTAGCAGATGAAACATGTAATACCTCAAGCTATGTAAAATAACTTCAAAACTAATATTTATAGAAAGTAGCAACATCGCAATAGTATTATTAGTTACCAAGCTCATTTGTGGGAAGTTGATGCTTGTGGTTATTCCTACAACTTCTGTTGCAGATCCTGTGATCTTCCAGAAATATCGATAAAGTTATCTTGTGATGTCCATTCATGATTCAAAGTGTAAAAATAAAAGGAAAGTAATTGTGTTTAAATTTTCTATGAATTAATATGTGTCAGTCTACAAAAGAATCACATTAATAATCAATATCAAGACAATCAATACCAAACAGAGTAAAATAAAAATTTTAACGACTTTCACGTAACCTACAAAATGTATGTAATATAAAATTGTGTTTATAGATCATAAAAACCGGTAAGATTAAACGTCGATCACTTAACTAAAAATTTATTGTCAATAAATTTTCATGTATTGGCATAAAACATTTATATTCATTAAATCAACAAATTTGTTAACGTTTACCAAGCTCATAACTTTAGTAAATTTGTCTTAAAGTTAGAAAATGAATTTAATACAATATTAGGTTAGTAATTTTCTATGGAGATTATTTTTTTTTTTGTTAAATCGTTAGAAAAAATAGAAAATAATTAAAAATGGTATACTTGCTCGAAATTAATAATATATGATCAATAAATGGGTATCGATAGAAGAATAGAAATTTTACGATTGGCTTTATGCCCGTAGGATATAGAATGCAGTGCTGCCCCTTTATTTTGTAATAAAACTGAGGATTCATGAATACAATATTCGTAAATACAATATTTGATTGTGTTCGGGAAACAATACTTTTAATAATATCTCATACAATGCACTAAATATTGATAAATTACCCATATTATGTTTTTCATAACAATAACATTTATGATAATAATAATAATTTTTATAATAATCGTAATAAAATTGATTACGATGAGAGTAAATGTCATTGCAAATTAAAAGCACTTGATAATCATGTATATAAATAAATTTAAATAAAACTCTTTAGATAACAAAGTTTTGCAATTGTAATGTAAAACTCGTTGTGATTTTTACGTTTCTATGGTGTATTTTACGACTACGTTCTTATACCTACTTTAAAACGTACAATTTGTCTCAATGTAAACGTTCTTTGTATTTTATGACTCCAGAAAGTTTTACGATGACTTTAAAAACTTGTCTCAAAGTCTCTCTTTAATGGGAGTTATTCGAAATTCTAAATGTAAGAAAACACCAAAGTACTCGAATTTTTTTAATAAAGTACTGTTAATTAGAAGATCTACAAGTTTCATATATTTACTCTTAATTAACATTGACATCAAAAAACTGTCGAGGAATGGATGAAAATAAGAGCACGTAATCAATACCAAACAAATACGACAGTGAATGTTTTTATTTTTATTCTTTCTAATTTATTTTTTAATGAAATTCTTTTTTACGCTTTTATTTATATTCAATCAGAATTCAAATAAAGAGAAAATGTTATTATACTACCACGGAGACAAAAATATTTATTAACAATTTGGGTAATAATACTCTTGGATTGTCTGTTTAAACTTTTTAATTAAAATATTATTCTACTTACGAAGTTCTAGAGTCGTTCAAAATTTACGACTGTTTTCACAAGAAACTTGGTATTAAGTCAGAAACACATAGAAATCTATTTATATTCTCAAAGCATTAAAAAAAATAAATTAAGTAATAACGAGTATGAAAATGAATGTAGAAAAAAGTTAGTATACGTTGGAGACCAAGAGCAAAAAATTCTCTTATTTTTTTTAATTTACTCTAGAATAAAAGTTTCTATCATGCGTGGTTTTTAAAATTTATACAAAAATTACTGACTTTTACCGGATTTGGAAAAAAAGATATCCAAACATGAATATCAATTTAGAAAGTAAATCTATAATTTTATAGAAATTGAAAAATGTAATAATATTATTCATTTATTCCAGATCGATGAATGATGTTCTGAGGAAAGTAGAAACTGATTAATCGACAAGAAGTGAGAAACATCATGAGGATAGCTTTAATTTTAGTGAGTCTCGTATTCGAGATTCATCTCTATTTTATAGGTAAGTAATAAATTTATTCGAAATAAATATATTTTATATCTACAATCGTCGTGAAAAAAAATGAATAATCGGTAGGATTTCCATACGATATTTGCGGTCATGTTTCTCGGTCGGCCGAGTTCAACGATATAAATTGTGAGAAAACTATTCGCGAAAACTGGAACAGATCCAGCAAGTGGCGCAGTCGTTTTCGTATGTCGTCGAAAAGAGATATATTTTAATAGAGCCTTCAAGTTATCGGAAATAACATGTCGCATGGTGTGCGCGCCAAAAATTTTTTGTAAAGAATTACTAAAGTGCACTGGCCAGAACGCAGCTTTTCCTGATAAATTTTTTGTATCTAAAATTAAAGTTTACTGATATAAAAAACTTGGAATAAGTAAATAATTGTCTTAATGAAACGCTCTCTTATTCTTTACTTTTTCATTTAATTTACTCTTTCATTACTCTTTGACGTATAAAGTTTTCTGAAAAATGTAGAAGAGGTGCTTCTCAGTAATTTAATGATGAAAAATTTTTAATACGTGATGAATTTTTTATATTTAAAATAATTAATGAACTCTTGATCAGTTCAAAGGAATTTTTAAAATTATTCTAAAAAAAAAATTATTATCTTACTTTTCCAATTGACACAAAAGTTCAAAAAAATAGTTACTCGCTAACTCAATTGGATTGAAATTGAAAAATGTCGATTTTTTAGATTAAGGATGAAGATAAAATTAGATTTCCATTAGACATATGTACAGCTTTTGAGAACTTTCCAGACGAAAACATTTAATCTGAGCATCATTTCTTGTATCCAAATAGTAATTTCCGGTTGATCGCGTTGTTTGGAAACCACGAAGAAGTTTGAGCTCGTTAGCTAGCTTTCAAACTTGACGACGTGACGAATCACAAACTCGAAATTACGTCAATGAGAGTGTATAGTAGTATGTTAACCAATGCTTCCCACTTTGAGTATGTTTAATTTTCAATTTGTCAGTTTATTCATTAGTATACTTCGATGAAGTTGATACAGAATTACGAACAACTTAAAAAATTTTCTTCAATATTTCAATTAATCATATAATTAATTATCTATATTAATCAATGTTAATATTGGAAATTTGGATGAAAAGAATAATTATAAACGAGTGAAAGAATTTTTATTGTATTAAACTAGTAATTATCATCTAAAATAATATTTTTTCTATTCAATTTAGCATGAAAAATTTGATGCATCAAAAATTAAAACATTCTAAACAAATCTTTTGAATATCAAAAAATAAATTACTTATACTCGTACGTATTAAAACCTTATTGAACGAGTAAACTGTATTTATAATGATATGCAATGAAGGTAACCAGTGGATTTAGTATAAATATATGAAAGAGCATGAATAAATTGACGAGTCAATATTGTATAGGATAATTAACCAAGTGTATAGTATAATTATCTTGAGTAATCGAATAGATGAGTAGTCTCTAACTAGACTGCTCACGTACCGCTTGATAATCATTCAATGCTTGTAAGCTTATTAGTAAATGACAATGGAGAAACCTATAAAATGTCCCTGATAGTTAGAATAACCTAGAGAATTGTTGGAACTTTGAGAACAAGTTTGAGAAACTGTAATGTCAAACCTAGTTCAAATGTGGGTAATTAAAGGATTGTCTCTTCCATTTATCTTATCATGCCTCTTGTTGATTTGAAGTGTGCGTCTTTTAATCACATTATTTCAATATTTAAAGCTAAAATTTTAATAAATATTTGTAAGTTTATCATCTCATTTAATTTCTGTAATTGTAATTAATCAAATATAACTTACAATTAGATCATTATTTCTATAGGTCTAAAAAGTATTATTTGACTATCATCATCTTCTTTTATTTAATATTAATCTATTTTTTTCAATCAACAAATACCAAATTAATAATTGAATTTGAATTGTAAAATTTTTCGTTATTATTAAAATAAATGGATAAAAACATTGATTAGAAATGAATCATTTTAATTAAAAATAATAAGTACCACATAATGATGTGTTATTTTATCCTTCTATCTAGATTCCTCATGATCATTTACTAAGAGCTAGAAGCATAGAAAATCAAATGAGACTAATTTGCTGATGAATTAAATCACTACCTGAGAAGGAGATCCAGCAATAATGAACAACAAGTTGAAAAAGAGACTAGCTTTGATGTACCAACTATAAATTTAATCTAAAAATTTTGAACTTCACAGAAGCTTGTAAAACTAACTCAAATTAGAGCAAACTTTTTTTCTGTCATCAATTATATTCATCCTAATGATTTAAAATAAGAATATCGGAAAAGAAAAAAAAAAACGATTAATAGTTCTCGACCTTCTGGATCTTATGAATAATGTATCAAACATTAAAATAAAATATTTTTCCTAATTAATATTAATATCAAAAGTAAAAATTTTAATAAAATCTTAAAATATTTCAGAAACTCAAGCCAAGCAACACGAAACGAATGATGACAATGCATTAATCCCAGTGGAAAATGAGGAAAAAATAGGAGAGGAGACATTGGGTGGTGATTCTGTAAGAGAAGTGGTAGCACAGAAAGGAGGCACAGCCACTCTTCCATGTAAAGTTACAGATCCAGTGGGAGGAATTGTAAGTATTTAAGGGAAAAAATTCTTCAAATGGATAAAATTTTGATGAGCTGATAAATAATTAATACAACTTCTGGCAGTATCTTCTGGGGTTCAGTTTACTGAAAGCACATTATTCGTAGTATAATTTAAGAAGGCTAAAAATATAAAACAATGAAAAAAAGTTTGTGCTATAAAATCAACTATAAAATATCATCTCAACTTTATTTTATGTGTCAAACAGCGTAATTAGTCCTGCTTCTAATTAGCTGCAAGGTCGACAAACTGTTCTGAAATCTAGTAGAGATTCTTGGTTTAATTAATCATAACAGATATCATTTACTCTATTTAGTTACACTAGCATAATTTCTTAATAATACAAAGCGTGTTGAATTCATTGTGATATTCCATTCGATTGTTCTCCTAATTGATGAACATAATTAGTATGCTTATCAGTGCATAAATATAAGCATTGGGTTATAAATAAGAAAAAAACATTTAAAAGTAGCGCCGATTGGTAAAATATTGCAGTAAATTTTGATTTCTTTCGCATTCCGAGCAATCGTTATATCGCATTATAAGCAATCGTAAATTTATGTTGATTATTCCCTTGAGTGAAGTTTTCCATGGCAATTCGTGGCTATTGGTTTGCTTTTCGAAATGTAGAAATATAAAATTTTCTATTGGCAGAGCCAGCTGCATGCAGCACATCGAGTACTTACCAATTGATTTGCTTTCTCGTGCTGCATACTTCTTTCCATTGAAGAAAGCTAGCAGTATACGTTCCTATCTCCAATATTTCAGAATATTCCTAGGTAAACTGGCCTCAACGTTGAACCGATACTGGGATATTTCTTTGAATTTTACATAAAAGCCTTTGGAAAAATTAGGTCAAGTCAAAAAACACGATGTGACCCTTGACGATATTTCTCTGTGAAAAAATTATTTAATATTTAGGAAGAAAGTGTTGAGTTATATTTACTTTGAAGTGAGAAAATTTAAATTTTACATGACAATTTTACGGTAAAAAAATAAGTGCCGTATCTATAAGTCAAAAAATATTTATCACACAATAAAAAATACGATTCTAAAAAATACTTATTAAAAAATGAAAACAATGTTCCTTGGATTTCGTAAAATTTTAATAAAATAAGAAAAAAATGATAGATGGAACGTAATGATATTAGTCCTTTGAACTAGCTCTCTTTTTAAAAAAAAAAAAAATATCTGAATAGTTATTCGTTTAATAAAAATTTTTGCTTTATTTGTACTCAAAATCACTTTATACTAGAAAATTATCATTGGTTTTTTAATTTTCAATGAAAAAACAGCCGTTTGAAAATATAAAGTTTTAAATTGAATTTGAAAATTTTCTAGTAGTATACTTAAAAAGAGTTTAATTAATTTCTTAATAGGAAAAGCATGATTAAATATTAATACTCCGGCTCTACTTTTGTGACTGATAGCGACTACTCATTATTTAAAGTGTTTGACTTGGTCATCAAATTGGTAAACAATTCAATCAGTTCGATCAATCATTATAGTGACTATTTGAAGTGCACTCTTTGAAACTCATTTAAACTAGAAGTTACTTTTTCAAATCTTCTTTTTTCCTCTTACTACTTCTCACAAGTTCATATCTTTATATATACCCAATCACACTCTAGCATTTTTTTTAAATTTTTCTGTTACTCTCCTAACATACGTTTTTTATGTTTATTTTGTTTGCAATATTTTACGAAACTTTACAAATGTGTCACTTAAAAATATATAAATACAAAATACATATTTTTATTTATTTGTTACTCTAGGATATTTAGTGAAAAAGTTTTAGATTAAAATAAAAACAGAAACTTAAAGAGGGAAGGAAAAAATATGCGATATCTTTAATCTTAAACAAAGCTCAAGTACTATCGAGACTATGTTAGTAAGGACTTTTTGGGATAATGATGTCTTAGGTCTAGAAATGGGATTGAATCTCGTCTCTCTATGTATAGTGGGTTGTTAAGATTGCAAAGCGATAAGACATAATGACCTCTCGTAACATAAAAACCTGCGGCTTTTTGTGGTGCAACAATTGCTCTTTCCAGCAAACAGAATTTTTTATAACATGTCAAAGGATTTTAGATTTCACTGGCGTAAATAGTGCTTGAGTATTAAGCTCTCGAAGATCATATAGAGAAAGGAGGAAAGAAAAAAAGTCGTACAGGAACACCCTCTTAGAATACGAAAAGCTTCTTCAAGCTAAGTATACTTAAGATGTTTGTCTATATTTGCTCGTACATCTTTACATTACTTCATTACTATCAATTACTTTGCTTGCATATCTGTATAAACTGACAGAGTGTCCTAGAAATAATTCAATCAGTTCTTAATAAGATTCAAGTAGTTTGAAACTCAAAAGGAGCAGAACACTAGATTGAATCACTTTACCACACTTGGGAAGATCAACCCTTGTAGAACATTGAACCACAAAAGATATTTTTTTCTGAGACTACTTAAGTTTTACAGCTTAGTGCTGATGCGTTAAATATTTATAGGTTTTCGCTGAAAGTACATCAATGCAAGTTTGTGGTACATGTTTTCCTGTGCTGGGATTTTATGATAACACCTAAACATAATCTTTTCGACTTGAATATCTATTCAATGTATAATATTATATTATATTCACAAGTATGAAGGTATAAAAAAATAGCTAAAATTCAAAATCCATTTCAGTTACCATAATAATTATATGGTTATTAATTTTCATAAAAATATATTATCTCAAGAGGTACTTTGGCTTTTAATGAGAATACTAAAAGTGGTCATTAAATAATTATCCCCTTAAAATTTAATTTTTTATAGCTTCTTCTATGAACATTTTTTACGGTTATTTCACAGACAAATTTAAAATGTTGATTAAACTGGACATATCGTGACTGAATATCATTTTTAGTGCCAAAGATTGATTTATTTCTGATTCAGAATTTTATTAACCTCATTTTTAAAACCAAGAAAAAATTATCATGAATATTTTGTTAGTTTAAGAGAGAATACATTATCAACTAATCAATTTATATAAACCTACCATTTGCATCCTGAAGAAGACAATTGGATATTGATGGAATTAATAGTCATTAAGTGAAGACGTAGAAAAAGCAGTTCAGTGAGAATTCAATGAGAAACAAAGGGACAATATTGTACTTAGAAAATGAACTTTGCCTTTTGATTAGGATAAACTATTGTACATCAAATATATACATAACGTGTTATCAATGTATGCATAACACAAGTTCTAAATATACTGCAAGCATCGTTTCCTGAGGCCGGGTATCAGTAGAGCTTTAAACCTGTAGGGAAGAGCTCAGGATTATCAACGATGAGGATTAAGATCCTGCTACTGGATGTTGTATTACTGAAAATTGGTTTCCTGAGATGTATCAGTAGAACCCCTTTAATTATGTCCATCTGGATATAAAATTATGTAATGAGGATCCATACAATTCTCTAATTACTTCTCTAAAAAGCAAATAACACTAACGATACCAAGTTAATCTCTACCTGTGTAATTGAAAAGCTGTTTATAGTCTTTCGGAATGAACTAGAGCAACCTTTTTTCTACTTTCTGTTGTGTAATAGAAGAGAAATAATAAGTATTGTCTCGTCTTAATTAAACAAGTAATGGTACAAACAATTTGATTATTTGAAACTTTATTACATTATTAAAGTATATCAAATGCTCAAAGACTAATATCATTGTTATTTTATTCTCGTTATTGTATATCTTCTTTAATGGAGGAAATATTTGGTTACTATATTGAAGATGCCTGTAACATGACACAGTAACAATTTTTATTTAATGTTTACTCATAAAGTATAAATTGTATTTTTATAATTAAAATGACTTATTTAAAGTTATAACAAACATGATATGAAATTAATATCTATGTTTTAATACCTGGAGTCTTTGTACGAACTGTCGTCGCGTGCAATTGTGATAAAAATCGATATATAACGTGAATTATGACCGTTCAGACAAGGCGATAATAAATGTAACATGGGTATAACGTAACTTTGCGGCGTTCATGGGAAATGCGCATGATATTCTTGTTTCGTAGTAGGACGTAAATTGTCACACGCTTGCAAACCTTCTCATTAAACACGCATGAACTTTAACGAAGCAGATTGGTTTCTTATCATTTTCAGAATTTATTTTGGTTTATCAACAAAATGTGTAAGACAAACTAGAAAAAAATTGAAAAAAACTTTTGCTAATTTATATCCTCATACATAAAATTGTATGGGTGCTTCTATGCCCTCAATTCTGGATTCTCAGTGCCATACCACTAGAATTGAATGTCTATTTACATGAGTCGTTGATCAAATTACCAATGCAATAATGACAAACATGGGTTTGTAAATCATCAGGTATGCGTAATTATTGACTGTTGTTTTCAATCTCTCATGAATTCCATTAATTATTGTAGTGTCCCTAATCATTTCAAATTTATCCCAGAAAATTAGAAAATTATTTTGAGCATTCAACAGTTTGATGATAATTTACTTAGATAAAAGTTTGTTAAAGTTGGAAAATTTTTCATCTTTTATTTATACAATACCTATACATCACGAATAAAACTCATTTGTAACCCAATTCAAAAAGGTGATACAATTTATGAAACTATTATCATTACGTGCCACGCGTTAGCAATTATATTAAAGAAAATGCGGACTTAAGAAAAGTCCCATTAAAACTTTAATTAAAAATGCATAATACGCGTGGACTCTTATAATTCAACATCAGTGAATCTTCAGACAATTCTGGGTACTAAAACTTCTTTTAATCTGTTCTTGTTTTACTTCTTTACTGTCTTTATTTTTATTATTTTATTCTTCTTTTTCTTACTTTAGACGTTCGTTATTTACCACAAAAAGTATTTAAGATTGGTATTGAAATAAAAATGAGGAAAAAGTACGAAGCTTGCGAATATTTTATGATGATAAAAGATTTATAATAATTGATTTAGCCGTGAATTTTTATTAAGACTGTTTGTTATATTTAGATTCTTGCCTATTGTTAAATAATATATAATTACTCTATTGATGAATTTTTTAGTGATACAGAAAAATAAATGATTTATTTTGAAATGTAAAGACTTACACTAAGCAATTTAACTTGTCTTTCTCATGGATGTTTATTGATTATAAACGAAAATAGATGCATCATATTGTCGATAATTATGACCTACCTCTATTGTATGTGTTATAGGTGTCGTGGTTGAGAAGAAGAGACAGGCAATTGCTGACTGTGGGCACTACTACTCATTCGGTCGATAACCGATTTATGATTCGGTCACTCAGCTCCGATTGGGCTCTCGTAATACGACGAGTTACATTCGAGGATGCTGGTCTTTATGAATGTCAGGTATTGAATTATTTTATTGACAAAAGTTTTATTCTATTTCTATTAATCTCTGTCAATTTATCAAAAATATTATCAATTCTACTTCCTCTTTTTTAAAAATCATTTCTATGTGAACAGTTATAAGATATTAAATCATTAAAAATAATTCAGTATTGATTTAGTCTTCATTCAATTTGGATTATAACAATATTAAGTGATGATTATTAGAATTCATTGCCAATTCATTAGTAATTTAAATCAATCCGCTTTTCTTTTAAATGAATAAAATTAATGATACACCTCAAATTGACATGATTTTTAAATCTACATTAATAAAACATATATCATTATTGTGGTTTTTTTATTAGTAATCGTATTTGCTTAAGTTTTATCACCAGTTTCAATCATAATTTTAGTTAGAATTGATACTTTCTATAGTTTGTCCACATTTATAACTAATTGTAGCTTATGAAAAAATTATAATATAATTTCTATGATGATAATACGTTTTACTTTTATTGATAGCATAGTTGAAATAATTTTATATGCTATATTTTTATAACATTTTTCAATAGAAATATGTTTCAAAAGAATAAAATTTACAATAATTTTTCCAGCTATGTACATTTTATGAAACCCATATATTCACCAACGTCATCAACATAAACATAAATAAAAAAACGTAACTTTATTTCCTGCGATGGATTTCTTTTTTATGAAATGTATTAAAAATTCATAAAAATTTATTGGATTCAAAATCGGATTATTTGTCACTTATCACTATTTCGAATTCTCTCATTCCAGATTGCAACTTATCCAATTCAACAGCAATTTGCGAATCTAAAAATAATAGAAGCTTATTCAATAATACCAGGAGGTCCTGATCTCCATGTCAAACAAGGTTCCAGTCTTCGGCTGGAATGTCAGCTGATGGCAGCAACAGAACCACCAAATTTTGTCTTTTGGTATCAACAAGGTCGGATGATCAATTACGATGCAGATCCTCAAGTTCAAGTAGAACTCACGAAGAATGGGTCTATTTTAAAAGTTGAAAAGACGAAGTTGAGTCATGGGGGAAATTACACGTGTGCTCCGAGCAACGCTAAATCGTCGTCAGTAATAATTCATGTGATAGAAGGTGAGTAAGTTTACAGTGAAAGTAAAAAATGTCTGAGGGACATTTGAACTTATAGAACAATAAACGTAATTTATTATGTATGTCACCTCTGTACATACATATATACGTCTAAGAAAGGTTCAATTTGAATTATGCTCTTTTACGTGGAATATAAATGTATTGCATGGTTTCAAGCTACATTTTTGTTTGAAAAATTAATCTAAAATAAGCCTCACTATTTTTTCATTCCACCAAATATGGTTTTAATTTAAACATTAATCGTAGGTTTGTTTGAAAAAACTTTAATGTAAAAAAAATTGTATAACAACAAGAAATCATTATTCATGAATAAAATTAAGAAGTCGTTGAAAAAAATCTAATCAAACAATAAGAAAACTATAAGAACTATCCATTTTTCCGGGCTATACATGACAACGGAAAAGTTATGATTTGAGTCATAAAAATATCGTTATTCCTATGTCATGTAGACAAGTACACATGGTTCAATAATCTAATCTCACTCACGAACTTCTAATTTTGTTTCAGAGGAAGAGAAGCCAGCCGCAATGCACGGAGGTGACAGGAGAAACCCTAGCCCAGCAATTTTGGCGAGTAACTTTCTTGCTTCTTTCTTGGCTGCCGTCAGCTGGAGGATACCAAGTTTTTCAAGTCTTTATCCAACGTGAACACACCGTCCTTTCTAAGTTGTTCGTGGCGAGAAGTCTAATCCACCACGAGCAACGTTTAATGTCATGTGACTGTTGTGCCGTTCATGATTTTCTCTAGGACTAATTATCTAGAGATACTTTTAATTCACCTTCAAAATTATTTCATTGTAAGAATTTGCATGAAAATCGCTCCAACTTGCTTCCTCCTTGAAGTCGTTAACAGATCAAAGAAAATATAATAAATCATTAAGAATAAAGATACAGTTCAGTGAAACATTTTTATTTTAAGGGGTTATTCTAGTTTCATGACTTTCTCAAGAATTCATCAATTATTAATCTTGGAGGGGAAACAGAACACTTGATCCTTTTCATTACTTGTTCAAAAGATATATTTTTATTTTATTTAATGTTTAAAAGTATTGATAATAAATTTAATATGGGACTGTAAGAATATATTATATTTTTTTTAGTGCTAAATTTAATCTACTTTGAAAATATAATGTAAGTATGTAACATAAATGAATATTGTGAGAATCAAGCATTCCAGTTTCTCCTCTAATATTTCAACTATTTTATACATTTTTATTAACTTTAAAAATATTCAATGAAATAATAATACCATTCATAATCACTTTTGTAAATTCAATCTAAATTTTGTATTTATTAATCGCCATTCCAATTAGTAGATTTTATTTCCCTCATCAATTATTTTCAATTATTCTCAACTAGAATATCACCTTGAAATAATTCTACTAATTAATAAAAGTAAATTATAAAAAGTGCTAAGTTTTCATCAACATAAAATGCGATTTATTTTGTAAAAAAAGTTACTAACAATCAGTTATACTATTTATTTCATTAAGTCATTAGAATATTTTTAATGTTATTTTAATTTAAACAAAAATTTATCAATTTGAAATTTATTTAATCAGGGTACTCATAAATGCAGTTCCTGTCTACTGTATAATTATCTCCGGTGAAGAGAAACCCTCTAGAGAGGTTGATAATCCTCCGATAAAATGTCTACATGTACCAAAGGCTGTTCTATACAGACTCCTTTAATTTCTCGATGACATCGTTCTTTACAAAGTCTAAGTAAACTTGCCAGTCTTCTTTCAACTGGTGATAAAGTCATTATCATTTCTTTATGTTCTATTGGATTATTTATCCACTTAAATAGAAGGACTTCTCTTCGCACGTGGATTTCTGTATATTGATATATTTCTCAAGATATTTTAAAGTAAAAATATCAGTCTCTGAATCCAACAAACTTTATTCATAATTCTTACCATGTGTAACGATTAATCATATACTCAATTGTAATGTAATTATTTATTATCTCATATATATTAATACATGAACATATAAAAAGCAATTTTTGAAATAATTTGAAACATTCAATGACTGGTATTTTTATGTTTAGAAAATAATATTATTCAATAAATCTATCTTGGTCTTCATTAGATGATGTACGTAATTTATGAATGGATCTTATGTAAATATAAAAAAAATTAGATTTAAGACAATTTTAAATTAATATACAATAAATCTAATTCAGATAAGTTTAATTTAAATCTATTTTTTTCTTTAAAATAATAAACAAATAAATAAAAAAAATATTTATAAAACTTATATTCATAACTGAATTAAATATTAAAATTGAAATGTATTAGTAGATGTAATGTTGTTGAAATCGTTTTTTATATGAGCTCTATGGAGAAATTGGACAAGTGTATTTTTTAGAGCTCATCGTGATGAAAAACTTGAGTAAAGATTTTAAAATGTTTGGAAAGCCTGAAAGAAATAAAAAAGAAAAGTGCAAATATATTTATCGGAGTAGTGAATTCTAAACTCGATGTATAAATATTCTCCTCTATTTACCAGTATTCACATTTTATAAGTTGTTTGTTGAATTCAATTTACTTCGATCTAAATTTATTTAATGTTTATCAAACTTTTTTAAACTTTTTCTTTTTCCGTAAGCCATTCACACAGATAATCAACATATTAATAATTAAAAGGACGAAGTATATAATTAAGTTTATATATACCTAATGAAAGTTGTACCACCTTACAAGATGGTACGACTTCTGTTCGCTTGATTTTTCGTTAAAAACCGCTTTTATTCACCTCAGTCTCACTTTTTTCACATTTTATCTACGCTGGAGTAGGAACTTTGGTGATAAAAGCATGAAGCTCTTTCATGATTGTTAAATTGAAACAGGAGTGAAATGAAACTTTACTTTGGAATATCCTACCAATCTTTCGGCTTAACAAGAAATTTCTGTTTTACTCTTACAACTTTTAAGCTCTATTACCTTATATTTTATTCAAAAAACGTTTTATTCATATTTAATTGTTATTCAGCTTAAAATAACACTGTGAATAATCCATCTTACAGAGTAACTTCATAATTAATTTTAATTCCCCGTAATAATTTTAAATCTCAGCTTACATGAATGTTTACTCAAATGTCATCTATCAAAGTTTCTCGGAAGTTACGATATCAATAGCACTGTTTAATAATTGTTTAATTAACTTTTAATCTATATTAAAATTTATACCAAAATTGTAATGTATTTTTTTATATAATATATTTAAAGGAAATGGTAAATTTTAAGGTAAAGCTTTGTTTCCATATCATCATACTTTGTCTCCAATACTCGTGGAATGACAATGGTAACTGTGATAATATAAATAGCCTTACACAATGTGGAATTGGAACTCAGCCCGAATTTACAGACATATTTGTCCCCAGAGAAAGGCACGCGAGGCGGTTGCGCTTTAAAGTGAAAGATGCTACGTATTACCTCTCCAGCGGGTTTACCAAAGAAATATTGCTCAGCTGCGGTTACGCGAATTCCTGCAATTAAATCAACTAATACCTCTTTAGGTTTTATTCAATACTATTTTCCTCTGTCATTCATGATAGATAACTTTCAAACCAAAATTGTTATAATTAATCTTAAGTTTTTTTTCTTATTTCCATACTTTCATTATTGAATATTAAAAAATTTATACTAAGTTCCTAATTATATTATCACAACTTATTTTATACAGTAAAAAACTTTCAACTTGAAAAGTATTTTTTATTAGAAGTTGACTTTTCTTTATCTAAATTTATGAGAGTTAATTATTAATTTTAAAAAAATAAAGTAAAATTCAAGAAAAAGCTTAGCAACAAAGCTTTTATGTTACCAATTTTTTTTACATTTTTTGTTTTGCCACCATCTGTGCTTTTTTCTCCTTGGGGTAAAATCGAGCAGCATTTTTTTACAAACAGGAACTAAAAGTCGTGCATAGAAAAGAACTTGAATAATACGAGACTTTTCATTAAAAAAAAAAGTGGAATAAAATAAGTAAGAAAAAAATGTATGGCTTCCTACAAAATAAAGATAATAGATGATTAAAAATAAATTTAAAAAGTGAAAAAAATACTTCAAGGCCATAATTCGGAGCAATTATATTTTTATGGGGAAAAATACTTTTAGATTACAGTACTTCTTTTCTTTCAAACTTTCATCCCTTTATTTAATTACCAGCAAGAGCATCAGCTTCGCTAGAGTAAGAAAAAAGAACATTGCACGCGCTCTTGAGATGAATACTATGTTGGAGAGTCTGCTCTAGAGCTCAGAACGTGACTAGAATCTGTTGAGAATGTAAGAGTGAATGCTACAATGGAAGTTAAATCTAAGCTGACTATTGAAGGCTTGACGAAAATAGACATTTTGAATTTGTTTTATTGCTGTAGAACTTAATTAAGTCATTGTTAATGGAAGTAATAAAATGTCTCATAAATTTTAATGAAGTTACAACATAATTTATATTGTGAATTTAAAAGAAAAGTTAAACATTGAAAAGTAAATGAAATTTTGAGAAAACGATCGAAAAATTAAATGTTTGTTTAATAATGATAATTTTATTGTGAAAGTAATTTTTTAGAGATAATATAAATGGTAATTATGGTTTATTGTCCTGACACTGGTGGCAGCCACGTACGAGGCGTTAATAACCATTAGATCTGACAAAACCCGAAGAAAGTTTTAGTTCAACTGTGATTGTATGCTTCAAAATGATCTTGTGCATTCATAATGATCATTAGTTGCATTCCTACAGAGAAATGAAGACTTTATTTTCGATTTGGCGTAATTACTTGAACTACTTACAGTACTTAAATTGTTATCTCAAGCATCATAAATCGATAATTAAGAGAAGATCGTTTGAAATGAAATCTACAAGTAGAGACAACATAAAAAATAAGAAAGAATAAGGTCAAGTATGATAGTCACACGTATTTCTACTGCTGACGTACTTCGAAAGTACATTCACGTGATGAAAGTTATAATGATTTTTCCACTTGTTCAGCTTTCAATTGTTGATAAGTATCTTAATTAAATTACGAGATTATTACATAGTTTTACTGCTAGCTTCAATTGGTAGTGATTGTCATAGTATTATCTACCGACATCGTGGTAATGTCCTCCATTACATTCTGAGTTTTCAAATTAAGCTGCCACCTGAATATTAATAGAACATGACAACAATATAAGTCAATTAACAATCATTGTTTGAATTTCAAAATATTTATTAATACATATACTGAAATAATTAAATAATATTTTATTGATAATAATTACATTTTATGACCAAGATTTGTGTACTATAAATTTAATTTTCAAAATTTAATTTCAAACTTCGCGGGTAAAAAATTAATTTTATTTTATTCTATCGATAATCGATTTTTGTCTTTTTATTCAAACGATAACTTCAGATCAACCGACATTTTCAGTCATTAAAATGGACACGAGTTTTATGTCCTTTGTAGCATTGTTAGTCATCGTTAATTTTTTACATTGACCCATTGCATCATCATTTTTTTTGAAAGCATATATTATAATTATCATTGTTATTTATTTGTCAATGAAAAACAATGACTGTAATATCGCAGATGTTGCAATTATTAAAATACGCTGGAAAGCGTCTCTATGATGAATTGTTCACGCCTATGTGTCTACGTTTTCCGCGCTTGTGATACTTTGATATCATTCTGCTTGAAATACACCGTTGTTATCATTGTAACATGTAAATAGAAGTACATATTAATTTAAATAGATCATGTCATGTAACATCATCTCGATTGTAAGAGAGTAGCCGTCAAGTACAAGTAGATGTCTGTGGTGAATTTGAGAAGATCCTCTGAGATTGCGTACGTGGCCATACGACAGTGACGTGGACAGAGTGTGGTATTGTCCACAAGAGGTAATATATGGTCAGCCATAATCCTCAAATTACGCCGATGCAACGAGGCGATTTTAGTTGTACATCCAATGCAAAAGCGTTCATAACTACTCTGTAGTATGATAATAGTTTCCTACATAATAGCCGACTAATGATCCTCTTTTACAACTACTAACGTTATTGGATCAAATAAAGCTTAAGCTTTTCGTACAAGTATCTATTACATGTCATTAAAACAGCCACATAAATTAGAAGAATAGGAGGAAGGTAAAATAAAAGTTTTTATTTCTCTA